GCCAGCAACTGCCGCACATGAAAGCGCTGCAGACAAACCCTAAACCCTAAACCCTCAAACCCTGAACCCTAACTAACACACTGTCGAACCCTAAACCCTAAACCCTAAACCCTAAACCCTAAAATCCTGCCTCACCTCGCTTTCAAGAAGAGATCCGAAGGGCGCCGACGCAGACAAAAAAGCCCTCGCGACTTGCTGTGCTGCTGCTGCTGCTGCTGCTTGATCCGCTGCTGCTGCTGCTGCTGCTGTTGCTGCTTCTGGTGCTGCTGCTGGTGCTGCTGCTGGTGCTTGCGTTGCTGCTGCTTCTGATGGAGTTGCTGCTGCTGCATCTGCTGCTGCTGCATGGTCTCCGCGAGCAGCAGCAGCAGCAGCAAACAGAGATGGAAGAGCAACGGCAGCAACCTGCTGCAGCAGCAAGTGGCTGCTGTCGCGGTGTCTCTGCAGCTCCTCGCTACCAGCTGAGCCACAAAAGAGGAAATTAGGGTTTAGGGTTTAGGGTTTAGTGTTTAGGGTCTCGAACGAATTTCCAGCATGACGCAGCAGCTCGGGCAGTCGAAGCAGCAGCAGCAACAACACCAGAAGCAGTGGCAACATTAAGGGCAGCAGCAGCAGCAGCAGCAGCAGCAGCAGCAATCGCAGCAGCAGCAGCTGATGCTGCTGTTGCTGCAGCGGGAACAGCATCTGCTGCAGCACTCACCCATGTGTATAAGCGCAAGCACAGCAGCAGGCCCTGGGGGGCCCCCTATTGCAGCAGCAGCAGCTGGATCTGCTGCTGCTGCTGCTGCTGCTGCAGGAGCAGCAACTGCAGCAGTAGCGGCAGCAGCAAATGCCTGCTGTCTCGCCTGCCTGTCGGCTTGCTGCGCTGCTGTCAGCAGCAGCAAATGAAGGGGCCCCCATTTTTGTGTGGAGGGGGGGCCCCCCGTTTGCCGCTGAGCCATGAACCCTAAACCCTAAACCCTAAACCCTAAACCCTAAACCCTCGAGCAGGGCCAGCAAACGATAGGCCTTAGTCTCTTCCGAAATTCATTAATTGCAAAATTGTCAGAGAAATTAATCGAATAATTAACTCTAAACCCTAAACCCTAAACCCTCTTAAACCCTAAACCCTCCCAAACCCTAAACCCTAGCGGAGGCCCCCAGCGACCGGGGGCCCTGACCTACAGCTCAAATTTAATTATTGTACAGCAGCAGTTTTTTTAATTATATGCTTAATTTTAATATTAGGGTTTAGAGTTTAGGGTTTAGGGTTTAGGGTTTAGGGTTTAGGGCTTAGGGTTTCGTTAGTTTGGAGAAGATGAGCAGCATTGAGGTCTTCGAGTCGCCGTGGCGCGCAGCATCCTAAACGCTAAACCCTAAACCCTAGATCCTAAACCCTAAACCCTAAACCCTAAACCCTAGGCCTTTAAAATGGCGTCAATGCGGGAGAAGGGTGCTGCTGCTGCTGCCACAGCAGCAGCAGACAAAGCAGCAGCT